TTTATTTTAGCTTCTTTGGGCTGGGATCTGAGGTGAGATGACAAACACAAAGGGAAAAGTGGTGCTGGGGGCCCTTCCCTGGGTGTGGGAGCTCATGAGGAGCCCAGGGAGGGCTGGGATGGGGACAGGGAGGGATGGGATGGGGACACAGAGTGTTGTTAGTGCCTGATTGAGCCCAGCACCCTTTGGGCTGGGAGCCAAAGCTGCCCCGAGGGTCCTTTCGCAGGTGCTTTTGGGCTGCTCCTCCCAGGTGGGTCATTCCGAAGGAGTTGAAGGGCCCTTGTGGGGCATGAAGACGTTTGGTTGGGTCACTGGGGTCTGACACGAGGGTGTGGGCCAGAGAAAGGGGTTTAGAGGGGGGTGAGCAGCACAGCTGGTCCTGCGGGGCTGTCGCCAAAGCCAGTGAGGATGCGGGAGAAGGGAGCGGCTCAAAAATTCACTTTGGGAGGTCCAAGGAGGAGGAAGAGCCTGAGCGCCAGTGTGTGTTTCCTTGGGAGGATGCGGGAGGGGAAGGAAGTGCTCAGTGCTGACCGGTGATCCGCAGGACAGCTGGGAGAGGCCAAAACCTGTTTGTTTTCTGAAGGGAAGAGCAAAGGAGAGCCGGGGTGGGAGAGGAAAGCCCCGAGATAAGTGCAGGGAGGCTCCTGAGGCTCGGCGGAGGGGATGAATTCCCAGGGTGGCTTCTAATTTTTGGGGTGTGTTTATTTTTCTTCTCACCTATACACAAGCAGGGACAGCTTGTATTGCGTGTCGAGCTTTGGAAAAGCTCCGCTAATGGGATCGAAAGCTCCGCAGGAGGTTTTTTTTCCTTCCCGAGCCCTGCGAGGAGCGGGGCAGAAGTCAAAGCGCCCGGCATGGCTGGCTGGGAGCCAGGTGAACTCACGCTGGGGACCTCGTGCTCCTTTTAGGCAAATTCGTCTTGTTCTTTAGTTCTCCCGACTGGTCTTTTCATTTTTTATTCAGTCCACGCCGGAGCCTCTGTACAGCCTGTGTGTTGGGCTCTGGGTAATTAGCAGTAAATTAACGACGAGGCTTTGATCGGGCTTTGTGCTGTGGCTTTCTCTTCTAGGATGCCCAGGAGTTTTCAAAGTTGTTCATGTCACTGCTGGAAGATACTTTATCCAGACAAAAAAACCCAGATGTTCGAAACATCGTGCAAAAGCAGTTCTGCGGAGAGTACGCTTACGTCACGGTGTAAGTATTTGGTCTTTGGGAAGAACCTTGCTGGAAATATTTAAACCTTTTTGGAATAATTTCAAGGGGGAAAGATACCTCCAAACAGCCAGAGCAGGCAGGTAAGCTTCTGCCCAAAGAGGTTTTTCGCTTTTTAGGTTTCCTGATTGTGTCACTGCAGTTCTCCAGTTGCTTTTAATCCCTTAATGGAGATGTACTAATTAAACCTGTGTGCTGGTTTTGACTGGGGCAGGGTTAATTTTCTTCGTAGTAACTGGTAGGGGGCTGTGTTTGGGATTTGTGTGTTGATAACCGAGGGATATTTTCAACCCAGGGATGTTTTCGTCATTGCTGAGCAGTGCTCACACAGAGTCGAGGCCTTTTCTGCTCCACCCGCGAGCAGTCTGGGGGTGCACAAGGAGCTGGGGGGGCACACAACCGGGACAGCGACTTTCACTCTTCCAATTCTCTCCCTCGTCCCACCGGGGAGGAGCGAGCGAGCGGCTGCGTGGTGTGGTGTTTAGTTGCCAACTGGGGTTAAACCACAACAATCTGCGAGTTAATGGAACGTGAAGTCCTGCGGGCAGAAAATAGAGTACTCAGGTGTCGTGTTTTCATTCCTGAGTTCTCCGAGCTGTGGGTTTCGCCTCAAAAATGGTATAAAATGGCGTATGCGAGTCGTAAGCCGGTGCTCCTGGTTTTCCTGGTGGATACTGTTATCCTGTTGCCACCTTCTTGCGGAGTGTTCGTGGCGTAGACGTGTGAACCACATGAATTCTGACTTAAAACCACTTTTTCTCCTTGTTACTTAGATCGAGGAGTAATTTACTAGTGGCTGGGGGGTTCAGACACGTGGACCGCTGAACTGGCCTCATGTGATTTTTGTCTTGTCTTTTTTTTTTTTAATCCTAGCTGCAACCAGTGTGGCAGGGAGTCCCAACTCGTGTCTAAATTCTACGAGCTGGAGTTAAACATCCAAGGGCACAAGCAATTGACAGACTGTATAACAGAATTTCTTAAGGTACGAGCTCGTTGGGTTTTGAGTCTTGCTGTTCTTAGCACGGTGTTTGAATTCCTTTCTTCAATTACCAGCCTTTGAGGTCAGTATCGGAGGGAAGAGACCGAGTTATCTAGGTGAGATGTGTGCAAAAGGAAATATTTTTTTCTGCAGACCCAGAAAATAAGGATTGAGTCACGCTCCAGACCAGAGCATAGCACATGCGCATGTTTATGGGTTTAAAAAGCACTTGAAAGTCACTGTTTAATCAAAATACTTTCCCAAAAGTTGGGAAAAACCCCCTGAAGTCTGACAAAAAGTCCCTGCATGCTTTGTCATGGGCAGCACCGGGTGAACGGCTGCTTTTTGTGTTTTCTATCTTGGTGCTCATCTGCATAGCAACAGGAGACGTTCCCTGCTCGAAAATGTGCCGGGAATAGCTGCGGGAACAGCTGCAAGTGCTCTTAATTTGACTTGAAAATTTGCCTAGATCTTAAGTCGAGATCCAGTTCAAGGTGTGGATTCAGCTGAAGATATTGAGGTCAGAACTAACCTGAAAGCCTGACTCTGCCCGAGCTGCTGGGCAGCGGCTGTGCCGATGCGCTTGGCAAACCGGTCGCTCTGCTTGCGGAAGGTCTGCTATGAAAAGCGACTGGTTTGTGGGAACGTATTAAAACCCCAAAATGGTGAACTTCAAGTTTGTCCACTCCTCCTTCAAACGAAACAGCCCGGTGACCTTGTTCAGGGCGGTCGGTGCTCTCCTCCGGCCTCACCCTGCGAATGGATCTGCTTGGGCGTCGACATGACTCTTGGGAGGGGATGTTTGTTTGGTTGAGCGCAAGAGCGTTGTCGTTTCCAGGCTAAAGCGTGGCTTTACATTAACTCAGTCCATGTGAGCTCGTAAAAGGGCGATTTAATTATTTTCTTTTTCCGTGTCTCTCCTTGGAATCAACCAACTCAGTCAAGTGGAGAGCAAACCTGACCTGAGCACAGGGCTTGAGTCAGTCTGAAATTTTCCATAAAGTGAGAGCAGCCTCCTCTGGCCGTGCTAGAAAGTGCATTTTTTTTTTTTCAGCCTGCATTTTTAACCAAGAGATTATTTTGGAAAGCAGCTGGAGAGACACTTAACCGGTTAAAATAACATCCCTGCTTTTCGGTCTCCAGCTGTCGAGTGGCTTGGACCCGTTGATTTTTCAGCGATAACCTGTTCTCAAGCCCTTTCTTTCTGCCTCCCCTGCTCAGGAAGAAAAACTAGAAGGAGACAATCGTTATTTTTGCGAAACTTGTCAGAGTAAGCAGAACGCCACGAGGAAGATCCGGCTGCTGAGCCTTCCCTGCACGCTCAACCTGCAGCTGATGCGCTTCGTGTTCGACAGGTAAGCGTCTCGCTCCGTGGGTTTGCGTGGAAGCTCTTTGGGAAGCTGTCTGCTCTGCTCTTGCTGTGTTGATTTGAGAGATTGAGGATTGAGCGTGTGCGTGCGCTTCTCTTGGGATGCTCGGGAGGTTTCCAGGGGAGTTACTTTACAATGTGAATCGTTATCTCTGTCCCCTGAACTGAAACTTTGCCTCTGCACAGACAAACCGGCCATAAGAAAAAACTCAACACCTACATCGGCTTCTCCGAGCTGCTCGACATGGAGCCTTTCATGGAGCAAAAAAGTGAGTTTTGTGCACTGGGTTTCATTGTCTTCACCCACCGCCCTCGGCAGACGAGGGCAGATCTCCTCTGAATCCCCTTTTGGGTAGAAAATTCCGTCAGGAGTTGTTTGAAGCCCGCATTTCAAATAACTACCTGGCTGGGTGGGTTGTGGAAGCCCCAACCTCCTTAGCGAGGTCTCAGAGAGCTGCGAGTCCGAGTGCAGTCTCTGTCCACTGCCTTGTGAAAATATGAAGCTCTAGGAAAGAAAAGATCTGCGCTGTTCCATCCGGAGCACTGTCAAACTGCCGCTTTCTTTCCAGATGGCGTCTATGTCTACGAACTCAGCGCCGTCCTCATCCACCGCGGTGTCAGCGCCTACTCCGGCCACTACATCGCCCACGTGAAGGATCCGCAGACGGGCGAGTGGTACAAGTTCAACGACGAAGACATCGAAAAGATGGAAGGGAAGAAACTGCAGCTGGGGATTGAGGAAGATCTAGGTAAAACCTTTAAGTTGTGAGTGCACTTTTAAAATCACTCTTTTCACCAAACATGGAGGCTGAGCCCGTGGAGACCCCGCTGCTCTTAAAAGCACTCCTACACACACTGTCACGTCGTAGGAATAACGTGTGAAGCGGCGGTTCTGTTAATTGCAGCCAGATTTTCCTCCTTTCGGCCCCGTGTGAGTGTTTACGCCTCGTGATCGATTCCTCCGCTCTCGTATTTCTCTCGCTGCCGCACAGAAGATAAGATGCCGATAACTTGGGCGGCAGCTGCCTATCAGGATGGAACAGGCGAGGTGCCGCTTCCTTGGCCGATGTGCAGAAGGAGGCTGGGGCACAGATAACAAGATTACTTTCAGTTTCCTTCACACTTTGTTTTTTTTTTCCACTGAGGTGTTTTACTTGGAGGCAGTAAAGTCTCCATAAAAAAAAAAAAAAAAATCTAGATCCAAAGAATGACTTGAAAGCCAAATCTGTGCTTTTTTCTTTTCACTTTTTCCTTCTCTGTTCTGTTCTTCCGTTGGTGGTTCACCCTGTGCTGGTGTCCCAGTGCTGCCCCAGCGTTCCTGGGCAGAACAGGGTCTCGATTTCTTGGAGAGCTCGGGCAGAGCCTGGACCTGCAGGTTTCTGGGTCTGCAGTCTGTCTGTAGGAGTGGCTCTGCATTCAATTGGCATTTTGAGTGCTCGGATTTGCAGTCACTCAGTGTTCCTCATGCTTTGTGATGTCACAAAATGGGGAATTTAATGCCAGAAATTTCCCTTTTAATGCAAGCAATCCATTCCCAGAAACACCAGCCCGCCAGGACGCTCGTGCTTTGCTGCAATTGGACTTTGAGATGTTCCCTTTCTTTAAAACATCCTTAAATAACAGCTCGATGACAAGACATCCTCAGATTTTTTTTTTGCTCCCTGGGTTGGTCACAAAGCCGCATCATCCCGAACACGCCCTCGAGCAGGCGTGGGGCGTTCTCCTCCCTCTCCCTTTCCGCGCACACATCTCTGCGCCGCCGCTTTATTTTCAGCTCTCCTGCTCGTAAATGCCTTCCTGCGTCCCATCACGACACACAGAAACTCTGTCTGCCGCCGCTGCAGCTTTTTCATCCCGTTAAGGTTTGATTCCTGCTCGCTTGCCACCAAATCGTGCGGCTGGCTGGACATCTAGTGGTGTGAGCAGAAAAATAAACCCCAAAAGGGAATCAGAGCTTCTCAGCCTTTCTTTTTAACCTCCCGAGTTGCCCAGCGTCACAAAGTGAGATGCAAAATAAACCCCTGCAGCCTTGATCTTGTAAAAGTTGATGCTGAACCACAAGTGTTCTTGCTGAAATAAGGCTGCGTGAAAAATAAAGGTAAAGCGTGTTTAGAAGCCTCTGTAGGCTGAAGGCTTTTATTTTTTTATCAAGTGGGGTTGATATTTTCCTACTCTGAGCAAAATGGAGACTATTCTTCATTATAAATGCAGGAGAAGGTCGGTAACATAAAGCTGTGGGGAGAGTCCTGCAGCCTGGCGGCGCAGATGGGAACGATTTAGAAAATATTTGGAGGAAATGCAAATTAAAGAGCGTCTAGGAAATCCCCTGGATGGTGCGGTGGGAGAGGCACGTGAATTCTTCCAGAATTTGGGAAAGATGGGCGCTTTTCGTAGTATTTCAATGTTATTGACCTAAGGAGGATTGTTCCTTTATTTTTTTTAAATAAAAAAGGATTTGAAGCTGCAGCTGAGTGTTTTTCCCTTGCCTGGAAAGGGCGACTCTTGCAACACGAGTTCACATCGTACCACCAGCTGCTCCAAAATGACCATTTCCACGGCTGTTTGCTCCCTAAAAGTTTTGTTTTTTCACATGTGCAGTCACCTGTAAATAAGATTTTCTTCCCTGAGGATCTGACTCTGGTGTCAGGAGACCAGAACACGAGGCAGAGAGGAGAAAAGATGTTTTTGCAAGAGCTGCTTTGGGCTCGGTGAGGTTCAGCTGGGGAGAGAAGAAAGGCTCTTGGTGAAGGGCGGTTCAGAACAGGCTCCTAATTTTAGTCCCTTTGAATTATCCTGCCCTAAAAATGCTGGAGGGATTTGGGGTTTGCTTTGGGATTCAGTTTTGGCTCGTGCCAAACCCAGCGCTTGGCAAAAAAAAAAGCCTCTTGGCAGAGCGCAGCGGGGAGCGGGAAGCCAGCTAGGTGGCAAACTCGTCCCATGGATGGAGAAGCAATAAGCGGGCTTGTGTGTTGATTCTCTTTTACCTTCTTGTCTCGCAGCCGAACCTTCCAAATCCCAGACTCGTAAACCCAAGTGCGGGAAGGGGACCCACTGCTCACGCAATGCTTACATGCTGGTGTACCGGCTGCAGACCCGCGAGAAATCGCTGACGGTCGAAGTACCAGGTGAGTGAGCTGTGGCTCTCCCGGCTGCTCCATCTCTTCTTGGGGTGCTCCAGCCAGTCCAGGAGTCAGGATTTTGCTCAAAACCCCTTTTGCAGCCACCGTGGGGAAGCCCCAAAGGTGCCATATGGAGACTCAATGTGACGAGCAGTGAAACCTTTTGGCTTTCCCAACACTTAAATAATTTTGAGCTGACGCTCCAACCCCTGCGCCTGCTCAGACCTTGCTGTCGTAACCAGCGAGACGAGATGGGAAGGGGGTTGGAGGCGATCATCCCGCTGTGTGTGACGGCAGGAGCTTTGGGATTTGCAGCCGGGATCCTGCAGGAACCGCTGCGGTTCCCGAAGGAGAAGAGCGTGGTTACATATCATCGGCAGCACACGTCCCATGCTAGAGGTGAATAATCCTGACACATGTCAGGTTTTCTTCTGCGAGCGCTTAATCTTTGCCGTATTGAGAATAAACGGCGTGAAAACAAGAGGATGCGAGCCCTGAACAGGAGTTTTGTACGAGCACGTTCCTATCTTGCTTGAGAATTACCGGGGGTGGCAGAAATCCCTGCAGGTTTGGCCCCTGCGTTTAACGATGCTTCGCATTTGTGTGCTGCTCTATTCGAAATCTTAATGAGGCCCCTGGTGCTGTGGGATGGAGGCGTGTGCCACCTTCCTCCCTCTTCTTCCTCTTCTTCTGGTCCCCTTTAGATCTCTGCTGTTTGCCTGCAGAGGGGGTAAATCATTCAGCTTCCCCCCCCAATAGCAGCACCAAACCTTTTCCAGCCCCACCACCACTAAAACCCACCCTCTGAATGGCAGAACTTTGGGAATTCATGCTCATTCCTGCCTCGAATCTGCATTTCCAGCCTGTGTCCTGACCTCTCTCGCATTCCCTTGCCTCCTACCCCTCTGCCTGAAACAATAACTCGGCAAAAAGCCTCTCCACCCAGCTCCAAATTCCTCCGCGGCCCCGCGGTTGCCTTTGTTTCCCGTGGAAAGCTGCCAGGGAACAGGGAGCGAAGGGCAGCACTCGAGCCCTGTGGTTGCGGGGAGGTTTCATGCAACTGTAAATTTGAGGCATTTTACTTTGATGCTGTTAAAAGCGGCTTTTCCAGGACGCTGGAGACATGTCACTTGGCTCCAACCTCAAGGAGGTCGAGCTGGTTGGTTTTTAATACTGTATTTTCTTCCGACGTGGATCTTGTGCTCTCTGGCCGCGTAGGAATTAACGTTTCTGGGAATATTTTAGCTCTTCAAAATAGGAAATAAGATAATAAGATAGGAAATAAGCAGTGCTTTCCCCCTCCCTTACACCAGCCCTGCAAGGGGAATATTTTATCTTCTTTTTTCCCCTGCTGAGGTTTGGGTTGTTTGGTTTGGTTTTTTTTTTTCCATCGGCGACAGCAAAAATTCCCGTTCATGGACACCGGGCTCTTCCCTGGCTTATCTCCCATCTCCTGGGGGCTTTTTGCCCTTGAGTTTGAAACGTGCTCGGCCGCTCTCACTGAAACCGCGCCGGCGCATGTGGCCGCACGTCGGGACAGGCATCGGGTGTATCCGTGGGGTGAAAAAAAAAAAAAATCTCGATTCTGCCCTGGGAACGGCGGGTCCTTGGCAGCGCAGAGAGCTGAGAAATGGCCGGAGCGAGAGGAACAGCGGGAGGGATGGAAGCAGGCGGCACGGCGTCCTGCCGCGCTCCGGCTCTGCAGCCTCTCGCCAAACCCCGCTGCACTTCGCGCGGCTGCCAGCGCTCAGCGTAGGCTCGTTAGGAAGCCGAGGATTTCTCTTAACGAAGCAACGAGCCCTGAGTAAATGATTTTTCTTGTAGTTAACGTTTAATCATCTCCAACCGTAACTATTGGAGGGAGCAACGTCCGCGTGCGCGGCTTTCGGAAAGAGCTCGGCATTTTTTTTTGGTGGCCACGTTGGGGGAATTTTTAAGGCTTGTTATCCCCAGCTAACCAGTCGCTAATTAACATAATTGGCAGTTTTCCTTGAAACTTTGGCTTTTTCTTCTTTTCCCCGCAGCTTTTCTGCAGGAGCTGGTAGAGCGGGATAACTGCAAATTCGAGGAGTGGTGCAACGAAATGGCCGAGATGCGCAAACAGAGCGTGGCCAGGGGCAAAATCAAACACGAGGAGGTGAAGGAGCTCTACAAAAGGTTACCCGCTGAAGCTGGTCTGTAAGATATTGTGGGCGTATTTTATAGTAGACCCTTGTTAAGATTAGTGACGTTTCGTAACTAACCCACAACTCGCTGCCGGAAGGCATTCGCTGTCGTCCTCTTGGAAGAGGAGAGCGATCGCTGTCGTTTGTTGCTGCGTGCATGCTTCACATTTGCTTTCCTTCTCTTTGTTTTTTTGCCTTAACCTATTTTTCTTCTTTTTTTTTTTTTTTTTTTTTTTTTTTCCTCATTCTCATGGCCTCTGGCATGGCTAATTCCCTCTTGCTCCTTCCCCATCAATCAGTCTCCTGGGTGCTTCCATGCATGGTGACGGTTTGCTTCTGCCCCGTGAGCAGCTCATCTCGTTAGCGGCGAGTAGCATCCAGGCAGAACAACCGCCCGGTCTCCGATTGCCAGCTCCCGTTAAGTTTTGAGCCGTTGAGCCAAATTTATTGGCAGGTAACAGGGTACGAGAATGCCTGGCCTCCAGCAGAGAATTATTTAATCCATCCCCACCAGCACTTCAAAGCCCCGTAGTCTGCTTGATGAGTGACCGGGGTTAATCCTTTCCTCCTGCTCCTTGTGTCTTGCCACCTTAGCGTGGCCAAGCCCAAGGATTTTTATTCCTCTCCGTGTTTTTTTCCTCCCGTCTCCCTCAAAACAATTGTAGGAGCATCCAGCACAGGGAATTTCTCTCCACTGCGCTCCTCTCCTAAAATCCTCAGGAATATTGCAATGAAAGACTTTATGTCTTAACTGCGTAGCCTGCTGGACAGTTTGATTTTTCACTTTTAATATTCGTTGCTCAATGCTCAGAACCAGCAGCGAGATTCGAGCAGACCCCTCCGCTCCCGTCAACGTCTGCCTCTCCGATTTCCGAACCCGGCTTTGCCGACAGCAGGCGCTTAACTCACGACCAGGAGGGTGTTGCAGCTCATCTTGCCGAGTCCCCGCAAGCCTGAGCGGTGTTCAAATGTCACCATTAAATCAAAAATTGTGGCGGAGGCATGAATCTGCCGTGAGTCACCATTAATAGGAGCAGCAAGTGGCTCTGGTGCGTTTTCTCTCCCCCTTAGCAAAAAGAATAGTTCACTCTTGGCATTTCTAACACACCAGAGGAATAAATCCCAAAAAGATGTGTTTTACAGGTGCAGACAAAGCTCCTCCGCCCCAATTTGAGGATGGCAGGACCCGAAGTGCTGCCCCGCGGGCACCCACGTCCTGGGGGAAGCAGCTTTACGAGCGCAGCTGGAGGCAGCGTTATCCCAGCGCTGCTCCGGGGTCCCATCCCGCCGGAGCTGGCGATTCTCTGCGCAGCTGTCCGGACACGTTTTTCTGCCAGCTTTGTGTAGCCTTGCCCCAGGAGAAAAAAAAAAAAAAAAAAAAGTAACTTTCCAGGGGAGGCAGCTTTCATTCCAAAGCAGCAAAGCCTTTCTGACAGTGGTGCGATGCTCTGGAGGTCATGGCTGTGTGGCTCTGATGGAGTTGCGTAAGATGAAAATCCTCCTGATTTCTCCTGCAGAGGGGAAGTCCAGCGCGAGCTGGGAGACAAAAGTATTTTCCTGTAGCTTCTCTGTTGCTTCTTAAACACTAAGGATTTGTGGTTTTGATAAATAAAGCCAACGGTTACGTTTCCCCTCGGTTTGAGCTGCGCTCCTCACGGCGGCAGAACGGGTTGAATTTCCTCCTAATTTCCCGATTGTCGTGCAGAAGGGTTTCCGCATCAACGCTGGGTCTCGCTATCGAGATCTGGGGCTTTCACCCAAATATTTCGCTGCTCGTACAGACCCTGACCTGCTCCTGAACCTTGGCTTTGCGCGAGGTGTTTCTCCCTGAGCAAACAAGGGCGAACCCGCGGCTCTGTTTCAACGAAAAATCACGCTCGCCCTGAAAAATTTGAGCAAGTTTCCGCTTGCACTGGAAACCTTAAAACGTTTCTCGCCCGGAATTGTAAGAGCAGCCCAAAAAAACACGGAAATTTTGGACGCTGAAGGGACAGGGTGAAGACTGACCTTGTCTCTTTGCTGGTTTATTTTTCAGTTTACCCCAATGAGCTCTGTTATAGAAAGAGCCTTTAATTTATGATCGTAATTTCAGTATTATATTTGTCCCTCGATGGACAATAGGAAAAACTTCCCCTTTCCTTGACTGTTGTCCTCTAAAGGCTCAGCAGGCTGAAAGCTCTCCTCCTCGGAGCGCTTTTTTCCTATGGATTCCTTACATTCGGAGCGACCGCTGCTTCTTGCAAATCTTAATTTCGCAGAGCTCCTGTCTTGAAATCCGCGATACGGAGATGAGAATTGGGTGAGGGAAGCTGGATCAGATGTTTGAAAATTTTATACCACGGAGATTTAATCAGCAGCGATAACCTGTTGATTTTTAAACCTCCCATTGAATTTTGCAGTAATTATCAAATACCATCTGCCGTGCGTTAGCTGACACGTCCGGGCTTGTTGCTCTTTGTTTTTTGGGTTTTTTTCCCCCTCCCAGGTTCCCCGTACGACTTCATCTCTCTCGAATGGCTGCAGAAATGGCTGGATGAGTCCACTCCCCCCAAACCCATCGATAACACAGCCTGCCTGTGCTCGCACGGCAAACTCCATCCCGATAAAATCTCCATGATGAAGAGGATATCAGAGTACGTGGCTGACTTCTTCTACAGGCGGTACGGAGGAGGGCCCCGGCTGAACGGTAAGGGCTGGAAATTGCCCTCTCCACGTCACGTTCCCCTGTGCTGAGCGTGTTTCAGAGCCGTGTTCTGCTCCCAGCCCCGTTTTGAGCCATCCTTCAGCATCGTGACTTTATTTCTCCACATAGTTTTTGTGGGGGTTTATTAATTTTTTTTTAATTTATTTTTGTGTATTTATTTGTGCTACTATTTCCACATGTTTTTTTTTTTAATATTTAATGACATTAGCATTCAAACAAATGCAGTTATTCTGGTTGCCGGCTCTGGTTCAGACCTGAGTCCTGCTCTTGCCGTGCATGGAGGAATTCCTGAGCCAGCAACAGTGCGCTGAGGTTAGAAAACAAAAAAATACTTGAATGGCTTTATGAAGTTGATTCTAGAAAAAGAACAAAACTTGCACGTGCGACCCCCCGGAAGGATTTTCCGTGCCTGCAGCACCTCCGCATCGTGCGTAGGCAGCGGTCCGCGGAACCTGCGGATCTGCGCTGCCTCGTGCCAGCAGCCCGCGCTCCGGAGCGGCACGGATGTGTGCAGACCAGGAAAATATTTTATTATCTTTCCGTTCTCGCCTGACCCAAGCTCTCTCACCCAGGGAAGCACATACCTGATTTCTAATGTGCATTTCTCACCCCCATCTGTCCTGCATTTTGATTTTTGGGGTCAGCCCAGCGCCTCCAGTCTTTGGGCATCTCTTCGTCAAGCCCCAGGCGTCGTTTCTTTTCTAACGGAGCTCAATAACTCCCACTGAGACCAAATTAGCTCAGCTCCCGCTAAGAGCTTCTAGGGAAGAAACGCAACCAGCAGAAACTGCCGTGACGCAGGCAGCCTTTGTGGAAAATTCAAAAAAAAAAAAACCAGACCAACGTTTATTAATCAACTGGAAGATCGCCTGCGGGTCTTGTCGTTGAGTATGGCTGGG